AGTTAAACTTTGGAAAAATTATTGAGGGGGCCGATTTATAATTGGCCACGTGTAAAAAATGGTTTTGCAAAACCACCGTTAAAAAATAATGGCATGAATGAGCCTTTTCTTAGACGGTAATGGCATAGATGAGCCAAACTTTTAACGGATGGCATAAATGAGCCTTTTCTAAAAGTTCGATGGCATATTTGAGCCTTTTCCCTATTATAATATTACATATTAATCTCAGGACCGTCTTAACTCTTAGGCCATTAAAATCATCGTTTCAGGCCTCATATTTTTGGGGGGACCATTTTATTTTTAAAAAAATTACTTATAAATGTTTTTAAAAAATTATATGTACTATGAGTGCTATAATATCTACTAAGAAAATTGCATATGAGATGCATATAGATCCTAAATTTCGTAAGAAACAATTTGATGAAAATATTGATAACGAAATCACAAAGTCCCTTGATACCAAAATAACACGGAAACGAAAATAGCAACAAAATAACACGGAAATGGAAATAATAGCAACAGAAATGGCAATAATATAAACAGAACTTATAACAGCAAAGTAGTAGAATAGCAGAAATTCAGATTTTTGTAAATCCTACTCAGTACTCCCTCTTACTCGTGTCTGGTCATGTTTATCTTATATGTATCCTGTTTTTTCCCTTTTTTTTTTTTTTCTTTTTAGGTTACTACCCCGTTCATCTCTTCCTTTTAACCTGTATTCTTAAAAAATTCTTCATTAACAAGATTTCTCTTTCATAGTCACTCACGGGATATGAAGTAAATGCATTCAACTTGAAATTTGATCTCGAACTGAAAATTAAAAGCAGACTTTCTTGCTACCTTCACAATTGGAGTTTGTGTTGTGTATGTGCAAGACATCAATGATGCACCCAGAGGCGGAGCTACTGTAGCGGAAGGGGGTTCGGACGAACCCACTGACTTTTCCGTAAATGTAGTGTTCGTATTAAAATATCAAATATAAAGTACATAGAAATTTACTGCGAACCCACAAGCATAGCGAGGCGTGTAGCCCAGCGGTCTTTGTGCACCCAGTGAAGTTCCTCTGCCAGCGCGCCATGTGTTCGAAACTCACTGAGCACAGTATTTTTGAAATTATTTTCTAAAGATAAAGACATACGTAGGTTTATATTAAAAAAAAAAAATTAAAAAAACAGAATGGTAAATGAAAAAAGTGTTTTTGAAATTAATTTCTAACCTAAAGATAATAACATAAGTAGGTTTATATATTTATTTATTTATTTTTAAAAAAACAGAAAATTGGTAAATGAAAATAAACAGAAAAATAGAGTTTGTGTCATACTATAAAACAATATCTAACCATTGATATCTACTCAGACGTTCAAAAAAACTTTGACCCAAATTTATTTTTAAAAGTTAGGGTTCTGATTTTTATTGTTAATGTGATTGCTACCATCCGACCTCTGTCCTCCTGTAAGTACTATGTACTCTCGCCTCTCCTTTTTCAATTTTTTTCTTATTTGTTTTCTTTTACATTGTTTAATTATCTATTCAAAAATTAATTTTTAATCTTTGATTCTAGGGTTATCCCACATATTGATAATTGATTATGTCAAAATAACTATTGTTTGCTTTTCGAATTTTTAACTTTTGAAGGCAATAATGGTTCAAGGTCATAGTGAAACTAGTAAAATATATGTTGGTGCCAAAATATTAATGATGAATCTAATAATTTTAATCTCACTTAGAACAAAATTGAAAACTATAGTAAAAATGTTCAAAATTTATATTTAAAAAGTTATTCATTTTTTATTAACAATATTTTAGAACTTGAAAATAAATTACTCAAATCTTCATATAATTAAATCAATAAAATTTATATTGCTACTGATGACAATCTTAAGAAGATGAAAATCAATATAGTATCCAGATGTTGGTGCTGTGACAGGAAAGAGGAGGAAACAATGACACATTTATTCCTAACAGCCCCCATAGCTTACAAGCTATGGAGGTACTTTGCTCATTTTGCAGGAATCAATATTGATGGAATGCATCTTCAACAACTCATAATATCTTGGTGGAAACATGAGGCAACACCAAAATTGCAGAGCATATTCAAAGCAATACCATCCATCATAATGTGGACTTTATGGAAGAGAAGGAATGCCCTCAAACATAGAAGAAGCATCAGTTGGGAAAGAATGGTGGAAATGGCATTGGAAGTGGTAAGGCAGATGGTGAAGACTCAATTTCCATGGATAAAGAATATGAGATGGACATGGCAAGACATAATACAAGGGCTCAATCAGTACAAGCCAAAGATACACTTCTTAAGGGTCACTTGGAAACCTCCTGGAGATCATTATGTCAAGTGTAACACTGATGGAGCATGCAGAGGTAATCCTGATTGGAGTTCTTATGGGTTTTGTATTAGATATGATAAAGGGGATCTAATATATGCTGAAGCTAAAGGTATTGGAATTGCAACAAATATGGAAGCAGAAACTGCTGCCATTTTAACAGCCCTTAGAGAGTGCTCTAACAGAAAATTGCAGAATGTGATTATTGAGACTGATTCACTTAGTCTCAAGAAAATCATTCAACAGTCTTGGAGGGTTCCATGGGAAATAGCAGAAAAAATGAAAGAGATCAGAGAGATATTGAAGAAGATTAGAGCAAAGATCACACACATCTTTAGAGAGGGTAATAGTTTGGCAGATTCATTGGCTAATATAGTTATAGAATCACAAGCAAAACATCAATATAGTTGTTTCCAGGAACTACCATTGAAGGAAAGAAGGATATTAAATGCAGACAAAGCACAAATTCCTACACTCAGAATCAGAACACGCGCAATCATCCCACAATGAGACCATGACAGGCGAGAATTCACACAAGATTAACTACATTCAAGACCAAGCATTAACAGAGACAGTGAAGGGCAATGAACATCACTTATCTACAAATACTCTAGAAAGTAACAAGAAGATCACCACACAGTATTTGACAGATATGAGTAGCAAGTTTACACAAAAAAGAAGGGGGGAAAAGGGCTATGTAGACCGAGAGGGAGCAAACTCAGCTAAAAGGTTTCAATCAAGGCGGATTACGGTGCAGATCAGAGCAACAAGTTGATCCTTCATCATGGAAATGGAGCTAAGTCAAGCTGAAAATAAATGGAAGATTAAGAGAGTAGATAAATCAGGGAAAGAAGCCAAATGGAAGAGAAAATTACCTGAGCAGATTGAGCTTCATCATGGAGAACAATGGAGGAAGAACATCAAGATTCAGAAGGGTAGCATCAAAATAGGGAAATATAGTTCATGTGGGTACTTTCCAAAAAGAAACATATGCCCTAAATGTAAGGGATTGGATAGTAGTTGGATCGGGTCTTGTAGACCCATCCAATTTTTTATTTTTATTTTTTGTTTTTTGCCTTGTTTTGTTTGGGCCATGTGCCTTGTACAAACTTGGCTTGATTATTAAATAAAAGAAAAACTACCTAACTACACATACATCACTACCATATATATAATATTTACCTCTAGTTTAAAACAATTACATATACTATCACTTTTAATATTTATACCATATATTTTAAAAGATTTAGTTAGATACACAAATCCCTTAAATATGGTATTGGATAATTATCTTAAATTTAATCTCCTTAATTAATGGTCCACATTAACAATTCAAATTTTTTATCACATAAATCACACCTGCCGTTCCCCACCCCACGTCCACTAACCCTCATTCTTCCTCCATCTTCTCCCTTTTTCTTCCTTCATCCTCTCAATACATATTTGCATGTTCAAATCAACATTATACATATGTGTTTGTTTCTATTATTCTACTATTCTCATGTATCTTGATTTTGTATCTGAGTTAAAGTTCATAATGTTTTGACATTCAATTTTAAAAAGTTCTACAAATTAGGTTTTATATTTTTTGATTTTGTTGTTTCTCAAATACTTTAATGGTTGGTCATTTTCAAAATCAGACAATTCTTGTTAAAGGTACTACACATTAACAATATTATACTAAATCAAACAACTTCTATTTGTTATTTTCACTCATGAGTTTTTCATTGTAGGGACTGACTCTTCATCCGTTAACATTCAAGCCGAGAATAGATCTAAGTATAGGAACGACTCAATCAAGAGGGAAGAGTTACGCCAAACTTTACTTAACATAATAAATACATCATTAGATATGCAACAATGTAGATGCTAAAAAAAGGAAGAATTTTGAAATTTTTTACTTTTTTTTTTATTAGTGATAAGACAGATACTCTAACATCGTGAGTTGTTCCTAAATTCGATTGTTTCAATTACATTCCATATTTAGATACACATGATTTATGTATATGCTTACAACTTACTGTGTATCCGAGATACAATATAATGTATGAAATTGATACTTGATAGATCAAATTAATACTAGATACATATGAAAGATACATGAAATTAAAATTAGATCATATAAATAGATACATAAAATTAATAATAGACACATATAACAAATACACGAAATTAATACTAGATACTTCTATTATACATATGAATGTACTTGTATGATAC